CGACTTCAAAGGCCCCGCCGCCGCGCCAGGCCCCGCGCAGGCGCCGCCCTCGGCCCCGGGAAGGCGCGGCTCTGCGCGCGCCCGGCCGCGCGGGGAGGGCGGCGGCCGAGCAGGGGTGGAGGGGGCGGGCGGGCGCGGCCACGCTGCCCGCGGGCCTCCCGGGCCCGGTCCCCACGCCAAGTTAAGGCGCCTGGGAAAAGTTTCCAGACAGGGGGAAAGCGTGGCACGTCCTGCGCACTAAACGGACGGTCCTGCGGCCGCTCCCGCGCCCGACGCCGCCCGGGCAGCCCCTGTCCAGGCCGAGCGCCGCCCCTCCGCGGCCCGAGCCCCGTCGCGGAGCCGAGCCCCGTCGCGAGGGCGAGGGCTCAGGGCGCAGGGCGCAGGGCGGCGCTCTCTGGGTCGTCGGCTCTCTGCGCGCGCCCGCCGGCTGCCCCTTCCTCGAGGCTGGCTGGGGCGCGGAGCCCGCGGCAGGGTGGGGTGTCCTCCTTCGCGGGCGGGGGGACCCGGGCCCCTGCACGGCCGCGTCTCGCGCCCCTCCCCGTCGAGGCGCGGGGACCCGGGCCCCTGCACGGCCGCCTCTCGCGCCCCTCCCCGTCGAGGCGCGGGCGCCGAGCGCGAGAAGCCGCCGGAGGGCGCGAGGGGCGCGAAGACCCGCGCCGCGCCCGCCCCGCGGGAGCCGCAGGCGCCGGATTCGGGAGACGTGGTCACGGCCCCACGGTTCCCCCTCCCCCGAGGGCGGGGGTCGCGTTTGTCGGACCAGGGAGGAGGCAGAGCCCCTGGGACACAAACTGCCACTTCCCGCGCCGCCCGCTCTTTTCCGCGGAGGCCGTTAAACCGAAGCCGCCACAGCGCGGACATCCTGGAGAAGCGGGGGCGGGAAGCCCTGGGGTCGCCCCTCCGCGTCCCGAATCGCATTATTCGTTTTCTAGTCCTTCTCCCTGGCTCCTCGCTTCCAGCATCCTCTTCCGGAGGCCCCGCCGCCCGTCTCGGGGACCCCGCGGGAGTCGCAGTGGGACGGAGTCCAGGCCGCACGGGGGGCCCGACGCCGGGGCGGGGGCGCCAGGGCGGTGAGGGCCCGAGCGCCCCTCCGTCTCTGCACTTAAGGGCTCACTGGACTGTCCGTGGCAGACTCGATCTGGCGGCAAGACCGCCGGGGGAGGGGTATCTGGTGTGGGCGCGGGTCCTCCGGCCCCTGCCCCGGCGGGGGGGCTCCGCTCTCTCGTCCCGTCCCCTCGCCCCTGCGCGGCGCGGGCGGGCGATTGCGCCCGTTGCAGAAGTGTTGATAGAAAACAAGTTCGCTCCCAAACTAAACCCAAACCAACCAAAGCCACCAGGAGGGGAAAAACCAACAGCAATGCAGCCAGCCCTGAGCAATTGTTTCACGGTCGGAATTAAATCACATCAAAACGCCCCCTGAAACCCACATCCTGCAGGAGTGAGCCTGCAACAGCCACCCTCCGTCGCCCGCTCGGTTCGCGCGCGCGACCTGCCTCTGCCTCTGCCTCCCGGGGGAGGGGCGGCCGCGTGCTCGCGCGCCGCCCCTCCCCCGCCCCGGCCTGGGAGCCCACGCGCGGCCCCGAGGCGGCTGCGCGTTCTCGGCAGGAGAGACCGCCGCGACACAGCTGCCTCTGCCCGGAACCACACCGGGTCTTTAAGGGAGTGAGGAACGTCTCCTCCCGGGTTGCTTCGCCCTCCTGTGTCCCCTGCTTTCTCCCCCAAGAGAGATAGTCTTTACGTGGAAAATGTCAACCCTTACCCCAAGGAAAGCTTAAAAACATTGGGGCGCACGGTTTCTAGCGCAGCTCACGAGAAGATTGCAACAGCGCTGAAGACGATCAGCCGACACCGTGCGAGGCCGGCCGCCAGGCCCATACAGCAGGCGCTGGGTGATTTCGTTCGAAACCATGTTTCCAATAGAGTTATGGCAAAGACCAAACGTAGCTACCTACCCTCTAACCAACAGTGCCCACTAGTTACTGTTCCAAAAAGTCCCATCTTCTTGAGCTCCTAATCTGCAGGACACCTGGAGCCGAGCTCCACACGACTCAGGGAGTCCAGATAATCAACATGAAGGAGAAAATGGATCAGAGCGAGTCTCAACACTTAAATGGGGGGGGTGTAGGAGCCGTCATTTAATCTCTCCTCGGCTTCCAGAAACTACCCTCTGGCCGTTCTGTGTCCTCCCCCACCCCAGGTTTGATGAAAAGGAATGTCCACTCAGGCTGCGTTTGTGAAAGCTGCATTTTCCAGTTCTTTTTCTGTGGGTCAAATTGGCACAGTTACCGGGAGGACTTTTGACTTTGTTTTCCCATATTTCTTTTAAGAGCAGAGAGTACAAATGCCTAACAAAGCTATCATAGTCACCTCTTTGAGACATCCGCTCACACTGGTGCCCTAAATTCAAAGGAAGCTGCCGACCACCACCACCCAAAAAACACAAATTGGGTTTCTTACACCCTGTAACAGAATATTCTTTTTGTTTTTCTTCTCTAAGGCATAGCATTGTCAGCTATTTAAAGCAGGTTTAATGTTTTACTGTCCCTGACTTTCTTCCACAGCCCTTAAATTTTACCCCGATCTCCGAGACAGAATTTACATGTGACTACTGGGCATGCTCTAGGGACCAACTGAACCCTTTAAATGATAAAGTTTTAAACACTGCTTCCTAGTAAATTCTGATCCCCAGGTAGTAATCAGCAGGTGAAGTTTTAAGTACTCATTTATAGCATTGTCACAGCCTCATACAACGCCTGCAATTTCGTCATCAGGAAGAGGGATCTTTGCCTGCGCGTTTCTATATAATAGAGCAAAGGTCTGATTCTGTAGGTCTTCCTGATTTTCAATTTAAAGAAGATGGAGATGCATTTCTTCCCGTCTCCTGTTTACTGTTCTGAGGTTTTACAGATGGCCACTGTACTGGGTGTAATAACGTTGCCTAGATTTTCAACCCGAGGGCGTTTGAGAGCCAAGGGACGACATGTGATGTGTTTTCCAACTTCCGCTGCGCTTATGCTGTAACTTTCACAAGGGTCTCCTTAAAACTCCTGTCCTTGTACAAAATGCATCAAAGAGACTGCGGAGACTAGGGAATGTTTGAGGTTGTATTAGGATTTGCATCTTCAAGGGTCCCTTTCAGCGCACAGCCCAAGGTGCCAGGGACTGCCCGTCCTCCCTGCCTCTACTGGCTTTGCTCTCCAGGGCCCCTTCTTTGCCTTCTTTCCACCTTCTTGTGTTGTCTTTTCATTCTTTACGAAGTTCCCACACACTGCGGCGTGTATCTCAGAAAACCCACGAAGATCCAGCATAAAACTCCCTCCCATCCCGTGGTGAGGACGCAATGAAAGAGATTGTTTAGAAGGCGCTAATTAAGATCCAGTCTTCGGTTTCTTCTTCCCCGTGCTATTTTCCTCGGTGAGCCTGGAGATTTTATTTTTCCAGCGTGTGCTCCCTTGCCCGCCGTCTCCGAAGAGCGCGCGCGTGTGAGATACTGTATTTGGGAAAGCCACGGCCGTCTTTTCCCTGTCCTCCTCGCTTCTGCTCTCTGTCATTGGCTGGGCAGTGCCTGCTGTGTCCCCCGCCCCGTACCCTTCTCGCGGTCCCGATTCCCGCCTCGTCCCTGGTCGGAGCATCGATCAATGCGGTGCCCGTCGCGGCGCGGGCGGCTGCCCTTTCATCTTCCTCGGAGCCGGGCGAGGGCGGGAGAGCGGGAGGCGTCGGGGAGTGGGGAGACCGGCCGGGGAAGAGGCGTGGGTGGGAGGGAGGCCGGGCGAGAGAGCAGATACTGAGATGTGAAGTGAAGCCCCTCCGGCAGCGTTTCTGGTGCATTCCACGCGGGCAAGGCGAGCCTCGCCGTGGGTGACGAGCAGCGAGGTCCTTCCCTCCAGGCGCGCGCGCACACCTCCCCCAAACTGGGACTCGTCCTACGGGCTCTGGGAAAAGGAAAAAAGCCCTCAATCACCACCTCCTCCTCGCCGGCTCCCCCACCCCTCCCCTCCAGCGGGCGGCCAGGGAAAGCTGGGGGCGGGGGCGGGGCGGGGAGGGAAGCGACGCAAGGGGCCGCTTTTCAGCGCCGGCCGGGCGCGGGCGCCGGAGAAGCGCGGGGAGGCGCCGCCGCTCACCTGCGGGGCAGGGCGCAGAGGAGGGAGCGGCCGCGCGCGCTCGGGCCGAGGAGCCAGGACGCGCCGGAGCCTCGCACGCGGCCCAGCTCCGGCGTCCCCTCCCCTCGGCTGGGCGAGCCCAGGGCGCGGCTCTCGGCCCTGCCTTGGACGGAGCGGCCGGCGGGGCGTGGAGCGCGGAGCGCGGCGAGCCGGGCGGGGAAACTCGAGCCGGGAACAAAGAGGGTCGGGCTGCGTGCGCGCCGGCCCGAGCTCCGGGCGCAAGCTTTTGGGCCCGAGGCCCCGCCGCGACTCCCCGGACCTCGCCGTGCCCTGCACTGCGGATCTCCAGTGCTCCCGGCACGAACTTTATTCTTGGCAAACTTCTCTTTCTCTTCCCCTCCTCCCCGGCCCCCACCTTCTGCTCCTCCTCCTCCAGCAGATTAAATGCGCCTCGAGAAGGAAAACCGAAGCGAAAGGGAAGGAAATAAGCAGGTCTACAACGGACACTTCCAGCCCGTGTGGCTCTTTATTCTTTTTAGTCCTTCAGGAAGTGGACCTTGCGTTGTCTTCTGATTCTCCTTGCACCTCCTCCGCTGGGCCCAACGCAGCCTTTTGGCCTCGCTTCCCTCTCTTTTCTTGGGAAACAAACTGCTCTGTCGGCGTCCGGGCCAGCTACAGCGGAGCGGCTTGCGCGAAGCCGCCGGGCTCCCCGCGCTTCTGGGACTCGCAACCCCTCCGGAGCCGGCGTCCTCCGCGCGCGAAGCCCGGCCACGCGGGGGGCGTGAAGCCGCTGCCCGGGCCGGGGCCGCCCAGCCAAGCGCGCGCCGCGCCGCGCAGACGCCCCCGGAGGTCTCGGGGGCGGGCGCCGGCGTCGGGCTCCGCGAAGCGGGAAAGCGCGGGCGGCCGCCGGGACTCGGGCCCCGCCGCCGCTGCTCCGGCTGCCGGCCGCGCTCCCGCGCACGCCCTCCAGCTCTCCTTCCCTCCCCTCTTTCCTGCTGTCGCCGCGGGGGCTCTCTCGCCCGAGCGGAGATTTCTGGGCCGCCGGGATGCCCCAGCTCTCCGGGGGAGGCGGCGGCGGCGCGGGGGACCCGGAACTCTGCGCCACGGACGAGATGATCCCCTTCAAGGACGAGGGCGACCCTCAGAAGGAGAAGATCTTCGCCGAGATCAGTCACCCCGAAGAGGAGGGAGATTTAGCTGACATCAAGTCCTCCCTGGTTAACGAGTCCGAAATCATCCCGGCCAGCAACGGACACGAGGTGAGCGCCGCCCGGCCCGGGAGGCGCGGGGTCCCGGGCAGCGCCGAGGGGAGGCGGGGGCGCCGGCGCCCGCAGCCCGGCTGGCCGGTCCCGAGCGGGCGCCCGTTTGCCGGGGCGGGGGCGGCCCCTGGCCGGCGTTCCCGGCGCGCGTTGGGGCGGGAGGTGGAGGAGTGTGCAGGGAAACCTGCACGTGGGCGAGTCCGGGCTTCGCTGGCGAAATGGTCGGTTCGCAGGCAGGAAAAGCTGCCCTAACCGTAACGTTCCTCCTCCGGAATTTTCGGTGGGCTGGGGGGGGGGGGCGTGCATTAAAGCGAGTCAGTCTGCACACTGCCGAGAAGCTCTTCCGTAGGACGGAACACAGCGGGCACCCGCGCTCTCTCGGTGGGTGTCTGCGAAAGTGCGTTAAACCACCGAGGCTTAGGGGGAGGCGAGCGGAGCCCGCGGCGGGAGGAAGGGGAGGTGGGCGTGGGCCGGGGCGGGCGGCGCAGTCCCAACCGCCGCCGACCCGGGCCGCGAGCAGCAGGCCGGCCCCGGGAGCGCGCGCCCGGCTGCGGGGGCGGTGCGGGGCTCGGTCTGCGGCCGCGGGAACCCCAGCGCCTGGGCCCGCGGGGCCGCGCCTCGGGTACACCCCGGCGCACCGCCCTCTAACCCCCGTCGCTTAAAGAAAAAAGCGTCTGTATCTGGGGTTTGGGCCCGGATCAGGCCTTGAATCAATGCAGAAGAAAGGCGAGCCCAGTGGAGCCGCGGCGGAAGCCGGGCGGGCGGCGGGCGGCGGGGGAAGCGCTCCATCAGATCTCCGGGCCCGCGGCGCGCCCGTAACCTGAGCAGGGTAAATAGAGACACGTGGGTGCGGCGGGAGAAAGTCCCGAGCCGGCTGCGGGAGGGCGGTAGCAGGCCGGCCCAGAGCTTCCGACTGGGGGGAGGGACCCTGACACCGACCCTCCGCTGGCCACCCTGGCCCAGCAGCCGGGCGACCCTCTGGAGGAAATCCGGCACAAAAGTCCTGACACCAAATCCACCGATGCTTCTTCCTTCCAAAGAAACTTGGAGGGTACACCTTTTTATCCCTTAAATGGCATCCTTCTGCCCCCAAAAAGAAAGCCTGTGGTTTTGGGGGCGGGGACATTTTGGGTTTTAAACTAAGCGTTTACGAACACTCCTCAGAGGCGCCTTCTCTCTCCCAATGGCGGGGGTGAGTACGCGTTGGGGAGGCCGGGAGGCCTGGGCTCGGAAAACGTGCGGCCGTCTCTACCCGCGAAGGCCGGTTTGAGGAGCGTGCGCAGGGGCCGAGGGCCGCGCCAGACCCCACGCGGAAGACCGGTGCCTGCGTGTGTTCTTGGGGGAGGAGGGCGCTGTGAGGGCGCAGGTCCAAGAAACCGAGTGAGATGCTCACGCTCAGGGTTCTCGCCACGCTCTCCTGCGTGCGGAGCAGCCTTTTCCCTCTTCCCATTTCGCTAGTCCTTCCTTAGTCCGTAAATAGTTCTGCCACCGACCTCGCATTTCCTGCGCTTTTCTGGTGCGGGGAAGGGCTCTGCCTTCGAGCCTCGGAGCGCAGGCGGCGGCCCGCGAGCCTTCGCCCAGGCGGCGGCACCGGCAGCCAGGGCCGGTGGGGAGGAGGCGATGCCACTGATTTGCACGTGGTTGAGTCTGGGTGGATGGTGGTTACCAAAACTGATGTTAACTGGGCTACCTTTTAGATGTCTATAACCCAACTCTCCAACTTTCCTCCCTTTAAACCGCCGAGCAGTCCTGATTTTCTCTTGTAAACCTGCGCTCAGCAGCCAGGTGCACCGTGAGCCGAGCGGAGCGCGCGGGCCTGTGCTCAGGGCGGGTGGCTTAAGGCTTCCTTTGAGTGGTCGGCTTGTTTATGTTTAAAATATCATTTCCAGTTGCAAAATGACATTTCTCCCTACTTGTAATCAGATCTGATTGAAGTGAACAGTGGTTGAAGAGGCTACCAAAGTGATCAACCCTATAAACAACTTTCATCTTAGGCATCTAAGTAGCCTTGCTGTGTTTTCATAAACAGCAGTCAGCATGTGGATCATTCCAAAGTTTAATATAGTTTTATTGTTCTTGTTATTATTTTATACTTTTTTATACTGAGTAGATAAAATAATCACTCAAAACTACGTGTTGACAAGAAAAGGCTTCCCCAGTACGCAACCCAGGCCGTCCAGATCTCTCAGGCGAGCGACAGACCGCTCCACCTGAGCTCTTCCTCTGGGAAACCAGTGCGCGCACACTGTCATTATTGTCACAAACTCTAAGGTGATTTTCTTTCTTTTGGGGGTGGGGATTTGTGATACTAGGTGGCCAGGCCAGCACAGACGGCTCGGGAGCCCTACCACGACAAGGCCGGAGAACACCCTGAGGACGGTAAGACGCTGCTGTGCTTCTCCCAACTTCATCACGGCCCACGTGTGATTTGTACATAGGAGTGCGTTTATTTAAAGAAACTGAGACCAGATGTGATAAAACTATACCTACTGTTTTAATAAAATGAGAAGGAAAACCCAGGAAACTTATCTCTAATGTATATTACATAATTTAAAAACTGTCTTTGAAAGAGTTAGGAGCCTTTGGATTTCAGTTGGTTTCCAGAGTCTTTGGGGAAGAGGGAATGTCTATAATGAGTTTTTTTTTTCTTTTCTTCCTTTTACCTTAAGTTCTGATTAGCTTAGATCTTCAGTATTTGTCCATGCATCAGTGTGAAGAATAATAGTGTACATCCATTTATTTTCCAGCAAGAATAGTTTTGGGTGGATTTTCATTTGCAAAATTGCTGTTTATTATTTCTTGTTAGAATAAGAAGGTGAACAGTGACTGAACAGACTAAACATGGCTCAGCAAAGCAGAATCTAATTTGTGAAAATATAAAACTTTATAGGCACTGTGCATGTTGAACATGACAGACTTTCCCTCCATTTGTTTCCTGCTAAAAACTTAAAAATTATATATATGTACATTTTAAAAGAACTCCTTGTGATGTTAAAAGAATCAAGTAACCTGCAGGATTTGCTTGCCAACCAACCTGCATTTCTGTTCTCCTTTAATTACTTAACAATTGGCCTGACCACAATGAAGTGATCTTGCATTCAATATGTCAAACAGGAGACAAAGGGAAAAGAGCTATACAGGCTTCCTTCATAGCTACAAAGTAGTTGCACAGATTAGAAATCAGAAATATATATGTCTATACTGAACACAGATTTCTTTGGCAGAATGATATAAGTGTAGCACATAAAATTAAGCCTCCCAGAGTTAACCCTTTATAAATTTGAATACTTGCCTGTATACTAGCTACAACTCTCTTTCTAGAACCCTAAAAGCACCGGCAGAATTTTTGAGTTTGCCTAAAAGGAGAAGCATGACTTCAAATGTATAAAATAAATGTGTGTATGTAGATAGATGGCCCAGTATTAATAATTTAGCTCTGCATTTGCGCATGTTTATTTTTAAGTCCAGTTTGTTAGTATTAGAACAAATTAAATTAAATGGGTAACACTTATTTTTGTAAAAACATCAGTGGGTAGTGGGAGTACTGTTTGAACCGCATGTTTTTAAAACATTTGGTTTGCTGTTAAGCCTGTAAGAAAATAAACACTGTCAATCTAAAATAGAGCATAATAATCCAGTTATAGTATTTTGTAAACAAATCTTTTGTGTAAGGTCTGATTTGTCTTAGAACTATTAGAGTCTCAGAGGAAAAATACCATGATATAAAAGGGAAGTCAATGCGTCATTGATTGTTCTTTGAATTCTCCCAGGAAAGCATCCAGATGGAGGCCTCTATAGCAAGGGACCCTCCTACTCGAGTTATTCCAGTTACATAATGATGCCAAATATGAATAACGACCCATACATGTCAAATGGATCTCTTTCTCCACCCATCCCGAGAACAGTGAGTAATGTATTGATGTTGTAAATTATTTTCAGAAGTGCAAATTAGTTTGTATCTTGGCAGAATGTTTATTTTTTTCAAACTCATTGGAAATGCTTTCATTATATATAGCTAGTCATTACTAAATAAGAGCTGTTATGAGGAAGGGCCACCTTAAGGTAGTGCTGCTAGTGCTACCTTTGATATCTTGCACTTGGAATTTTAGCTTATTTTAGTTTATTGGCTAAAAAATTAGTAAATAACAGATCATGAGTTATAAAATCAAATGAAGTTTCATCGACAAATCTGTGATTTTATGAGCCTTGTGCCTTCTATGCTAATGAGAGGAAAAGCTTGATTTAATCTTCTATATACTAAGGACTGTGTAGCTTTCAGTGTCCACAAGCTATCAAGAATCAGAACTGCTTCAGCTCATTTGAAGCTGAACATTCAGAATCTTAACTTTGCCTTTTAAAACACTGTCTCATTTTATTGTATTAGCTAATTGTATTTAAGATCCTTTGGTGGTGGTTGTGGGGGAAATGAGCTACCTTTACTTATTGTCAATTGTTGAGAAAGTATCACTTAAAGATAACCCTAAGGAAAGTTGTTCTTTTTTTTATCTTGTGGTTCAGTTACCTTTTAATGTTCTAAAAGTACGCTGGCATTATAACTGTATGATGCAACTTCATAACATGAAGAATTTCAGGTTTGGTACAGGTAGTTCTGTTTTCTTGGGAAGCATAAACTTCATTTATATAGTGAGAAAACATTTAAATGGTAATTTGTATGGCATGTGAACATGAACTGTGCTGATGATGGAGTTCTCTCTAAGAATCATCCCTCAGCAGTGGCGATGGGCTTTTACTGATCCATCAATAGAGTTACCTTCTCACCTACCCCACTTTCCCATCATCACCCCCAGCAAAGAAAAACACATGTGTATAAATCTTGGGGATGAAAGTTTCATTCTCTGACCCTCCTGGCTGTCAGATCCTGGACCATAAAATGGAACCTATGGTGTTTGACTTCTTTGCCCAGTGCTTTTCTACCAACTAAAAAAAAAAACAGTCACAAACATCTGAGAAGAGTAATATTGTTAATATAACTCGGTGAGTAGAACCTGGGAGTGAGGAGATCAGTGAAGTAGTAAGAGGAATGGCTCATAATCAGCAGTTTTCAACAAGAGTATGTGTGGTTATTTTGCTTATCCAGGGCCATCAATTGTTGAAATAATAAGTATATGAAATGTAATCACTTTGTGTGAGCACTGTGATTTAGAGTTTATTATTTTGCCACAAATCTTAATAAGATATTTGACCTGTCAGATAAGGGAATAAGATTTCTCTAATTTTCATATAACAGTTAAAAACACTGATCTTAAGGATCTAATCTTGGAGATCTTGTGATGGTTGCTATAGGGAAATAGCTAGTTTGTGTTTTGTTTCAAAGGGATTTTCGAATATTTTATGATAGAGATGTCTTTTGGTACATAGGAATCTCCTACCTAAAAAGTGAATGAATTAATAAAAGCAAATATAGTTTAATATTCAAAGACCACCTGAAATGAATGCTTCTGAGTTATAAAAGTGGTGGGGAATTTTATATTTGATGAACTAAATATGTCAGATATTTCTTTAATAGTTGAGCAGGTTTTTTGTTGTTATTTTGGTGAGGAAGAGAAGGAGAATGTGTTTTAGATAAATAATTGAAGATTTCTGTTGAAAGCCTTTTTAGAACAACAGATCTTTTCAAATCAACAGAAAATACCACTAAAACAGCTGTGATACAATTGATGTGTATTTCTAGAATTTATTCCTTAAAGTGATCAGCCATTTCTTTCAAAACAATAATTTTTAAAGTCAGTGTAATAAAAATTTATTGACATTTATTAATAATCCCTCAGCATATTGAAAATTAAGCTTTTCTCTCTTGAAGCCAACAATCTGCTTTGTCTCCACGGTCTTCTCCACTCCCTCAGTGTAGTAATCATTTTGAAAATTTTGATAGAATGGAAGGTATTTATTGTTAGTGTATGTATTAAAATTTTGAGGTCAGTGAATCAATCATTCATTGTTTAGGGAAGATTTATGGCCAGAATAAATGTGGGCAGGGGTGGGTGTAGGATGGAGGAAAGGGGTATGGTCAGGAAGCAGTTCCCTTACCCTGTTATCTGCTGCTTTGCTTTATTCTGTTACATATTAGACTGTGTTTAGGTTAGGCACTTTTTTTTTAGATATTCTGCAGTTTGCACAATTCCAGAAGCTTTTCAGTTTTAACCACAAGACTGTCAATTTTTTTTTTTAAGGGTCTGACCAAAGTGACTTACAGTCTTTGGTTTTTAATACCTAACAGCTGTTTTTAATGTGTCTGAGATCAAACACACTTTAACCGGAAGGCAGCCTCTCTTCTTCACCCCTAACCACACTAATGCTTTCTTGCTCTTTAACTCTGCCCTTAGGACTGAGTGTTTATGTCACTGACATCCACAGTGATGGATTTTCATCTAGGGTGTTAGGAGCAGAGTGACCATTTGTGTTTGGGCTTAGGATGGGAGCATCCCCGCCACCACTTGAATTTGCATCACAAACAATTGCTTGTTTACTGCATTTGCTGCCTGATGTGTTAGGACTGGGAGAACATCTGGGGGCAGGGGAGGGACTTGACTACCCCCTCCCTATATGGAGTCTTCTGTTTGTGTGTTAACTACAGGTAATTCAGAGAACACCTGCTGTGGCCAACTGGCAGGCACAGAAACACTTCTGCTGGAATATCATTTTAACAAGTCTGTGTGCTTTTGCTCCTTTTAAAGACAAACACTGGCGTATGCATGCTCACAGCTTCTACCTTGGACATAAATATTGTCTTATCTGTTCAGGAGAACCACCTTGAATCTAGCTTTTTCCCTTCTGAAGGAGAATTTCAATTGACAAATTAATGTCTTTCTATAACTAGAATTCTTAAGGGTGTAAATTTGAAATAAAAATGTTTAGTTTAGATAAATTGAGCCTAATAAGAAAGCTATCATAATGCGTTTGATGTCAGTGCGAGTGCATAAGGTATAGTAAACCTCAGCTCGAGTTGGTGCTCTTCACAGAGCCAGAAGAAGATGCAGAGCCGGGTCAAGATTTTAGAGCGGGGACCCTAGAGGGTTTCTTGAAAGGTACTCCCAAGCCTTTCATTCACTGAACCTTATTTATGAAAATCCCAGTAGGCCAATGGTAATGTGTTAAAAGAAAAAGATAGTTCTTTCCATCCCTGGCTCAGTCCTGGCGTTTGTGGGGTTGGACACGGTGTGGACGGTGAGCTGGGCTGGTTTAACACGGGGAAAGTTCCCCTTGGCCTCCTGCATCGTGGCTGTTCATCCCAGGTGTCAAATGTCCATTTGTCCCTCATGTTAAACCCAGATGTTTAACACCTCAGGGGAGAAGCGTCGTGGCATTTCTCTCCAGGTGCCTGGGGAGGGAATAGCTGCTGCAGGGCCGGAAGCTGCAGCAAACGGTGCTCAGGGGCACTGAACCGCAGTGACACCTGGCCAGTCAGCCCTGCCACCTTCCTGTCCTCACAGAGGGTCTCTGTGAGCTTTCTTAGAGTGAGTGTTTAGGTGGGAAAGGAAGATACTTGTGTTCTCATTTCAGCTGTCTTTTTGATTGTTTTTTTTTTTTAAGTAGAAATTGCTATTAATATGTTCCAGAAGTTCTTCTAAATTATTTTGAATAACTTAGTTCTATTATATGAGTTTTACCTTAAGGGAATTGACATTTTGATTTCTGACTAACAGGATTATACCTGTCATGACTTTGTCTCACCTGTCCCCATGTGTTTGTTAGGAGCTAAAATGTGATTTTGTCATTCATATCTGGAATTCAGGGACTAAAGTGGACTTGTCTAATCAGTAAGCTTTGGAACACCACTGTACGTCACACTGCTGCTCTGAAAATAATCATGGAAATAATAAACCAAGGGCGGGACTGGCTTCTATCTAATGCAAGATTTTTAAGGTGGAGTTATCTTTATTTTACTGCAGGGAGCTACTTGACTTACTGATAAGTTACTTTTAATTTTCTGATTTGAGTTGTATACTTTTCAAAGCTAAGCATATTGAGTTTTCCCCATTTATCCTCAAGTACAGGACGAGCTTTAGGAAATGTATTCCATCTCAAATTTGGATGTAGATGTCAGGAGAATGTGTGGGAAAATTCCAAAGGCCCCAAAACTTTTCTGTTTGATCCCTTCTTTTATTTATTTATATTTTAAAGATTGGTATCTCTCTGTGTCTCAGAGTGGAGTACAGTGGTATGATCATAGCTCACTGCAGCCTTGAACTCGTGGGCTCAAGCAGTCCTCCTGCCTCAGCCTCCCAAGTAGCAGGGACTATAGGTCCATGCCACCATGCCCAGCTAATTTTTTTTTTTTAGAGGTGAGGTCTCACTATATTGCCCAGGCTGGTCTCGAACTGGGTCCCTTCTTCACTGCACATGCTAAAGCTGTTGCATAAGTGAGTATACTGAGCTGAGTCAGTTTGTAGGTAGCTAATACTGTAGTATTAAAGAGACTTAGTACTGCTTCCCACTATCCTGACATGTCCTTACTCATTTTGAAAAGGCAGCCATTGGATGTTATTCAGATAATTTTAAAAATATATTTTAGGTTCATTATTACTTTTTAAATTTTATGATCTTATGAAGTCACAGTATAGGAATTGTAAACTCTGCTGTAAACCCTTAAGTCGTTTTAGACATAAATGATCCGGTCTCTAAGATTTGGAGCCCCAAAGCCTGAAAATGATTTAAAGACCAGCAACGTCTGGGGGCAGGGTGGAAGCAGGAGGTCGCAGTGTGCTGAAAGGAAGAGCGGGGAGCTGAGCAACGACTGGACAGGCAGCAACGGCTGCTAACTCAGAAATTCTGATCACCTAGCTGGGGCTATTTGCAGAGTGTCACATCAGAGGCTGTGTAGAGGATTATAAAGTTTCTACTAAAAAGTACATACACACAGTGCTCATTCTAGCTGGACTTCTA